GAACCCGGGAGGCGGAGCTTGCAGTGAGCCGAGATCTGGCCACTGCGCTCCAGCCTGGGCAACAGAGCGAGACTCCGTCTCAAAAAAATAATAATAATAATAAAATAAATAAATAAATAAATAAGCCCTTCTTTGTAAACCCTGAGTACGATGCTTGGCACTCCCCCGGCTCAGCTCGGCTCAAGGCCACCTCTTCTGGGAAGCCTGCCCTGAAGCCTCCACCACACGGCTCCCAGCCCAGAGCTCCTACCCAGCCTGCTGCATCCATTTAGCCCGTCTTTCTCAGGCTGGTCAGGTCTTGCCCACAAGGCTGGACATACCTGTGAGGCCCCGAGGTCTCAGGATGGGTGGCGAGGTGGCCAGAGAGCTGCCTTTTGACCCAGCAGGGGAGCCCAGTGAATGACTCTGGCCAGAGACACCCCTGCATTTAGGAGAATCACAGGCCTCGACCTGCACTCTGCCTCAGGCTGGCTCTGGGAAGGGCAGGGGTCGGTCTCAGGAGGATAAGTCAGAGGAGGTCTCACAGTCTACCCCCAGCCCACCCTCATCTCGGGACCAACCCTTCTGGAGGATCCTTCCGTCACCCCCGGCCCCACCCCCATCCCACACAAGAGCCCTTGGCCAGGGCCCCGACTCCGACCTGGGCATTAGAATCTTCCTGCCAAGAACAGGCTCCAGTTTTTCCAAGTCCCAGAGGAGGCTGGGGAGTGACAGGCCTCCTGAATAAATCCAGCCCAGACCCCTCAGCCAGGGAGGCAGCTCCCTCCTCTCCCGCCCAAGGAGCAGGCCGAGCCGCCCCGCCCCTCGTACCTCTGCGGGCTCCTTGCTGCCACACACGACGTTCCTCTGGTCCCACTTGGGTGCTCCCCACACTCTGCCCGGGCTCCAGCCAGCCCAGCCCAGCCCACCCCTCCCCTCCCACCAGGACCTTTACTCTCAGCCAACCCCTGTTCAGGTTGCCTTCTCTTCTGGTAAATATTGACTTGCACATCCGGTTAAACATTGACCTTGAAGCCAGAAGCCCCTTTCCCACCAGGGTGTCTAATCCTGAGGCAGCCACACAGACCCCCTATATTCGGGTCCCCCCTGAGCCTGGAAAGAGGAAGTCCACGAGGAGAGAGGTGAAGAGACTGGATCTGGCTAGCCAAGAGGGCGGATCCAGAAGGCACAGGAACCTAGCACTGTGTTAAGCCTTCCAGAGACCCCACGAGGTGTGGATTATCCCTGGTTCAGCCAGGCTCAGGCTCAGAGAGGCCGTGTGACCTGCCCAAGGACACAGAGCTGGGCTGAGTCACATCCAGATTCTCACTTCCATTGTCCTTTCTTCTCCCCGAGAGCTGCCTCCCGCTCCCGAGGGGAGGAAAGGGGAAGCCACAAAGCCTGTGCAGAGAGCCCGGGATAGGAAGCTCACCCCCAACCTCACAAGCCCGGGATCCGGGGTGGCTGCCTTCAGACTGGGCCCGGAAGGCAGGGGGTAAGGGAGGAGAGATGAGAGGGACTCGGCCTGTCCCACCGTCCTGCCACTCCGGAGCAATATCTCTTTCCCCAACCCAAGCGTGAGGGTTTTGGAAACTGGCCCGGGGCTGTGTGAACCAGAAGCCTGGCAGCCCGTGCAAAGATCAGGTTCCTTCCCACCTTCACATCTGCTCTTCACTGCCCTGCATCAGGCCGCTTCCCACCCTCACACCTGTTCACTGCCCTGCATCAGGCCGCTTCCCACTCTCACACCTGTTCACTGCCCTGCATCAGGCCGCTTCCCACCTTCACACCTGCTCTTCACTGCCCTGCATCAGGCCACTTCCCACTCTCACACCTGTTCACTGCCCTGCATCAGGCCGCTTCCCACCTTCACACCTGCTCTTCACTGCCCTGCATCGGGCTGCTTCCCACCTCACTGTCCTGGAAACTGCTGGGTCTCAACTTTCCCCACTCTGACACCACCAGCAAGATAAGCCTCAGGCTGGGAGCGGTGGCTCACACCTGTAATCCCAATACTTTGGGAGGCTGAGGCGGGAGGATCGCTTGAGCCCAGCAGTTGGAGACCAGCTTGGGCAACATAGTGACCCTCCATCTCTACTGAAAAAAAAAAAGACAAGCCTCAGTTTGCCCCATGGCTCTTCCAAAGGATTTATTGGTCCTATTTACATCTATTGCAAATTGTGAGGAGGCAGCAAGGGCCAACCCCTGGACCTCATCTCCGTCTAGAAGGTGAGGCTGCAGGGATGCTTAAGTTTTCCTCTGGCAGAGACCCGAGGTGCAGAGATGATTCTTCTCACTCCTTCGCTCAGGGTCGTGGAGTCCCAGCAGGGGTTCAGGGCCCAGAGGCTGCCCTGCTCAGCTCAAGGCACAAACACTGTAGTTAGGGGTAGGCAGGCAAGGCATGGGCTCACTCCGGGCAGGCACCACTGGCCAAGTGCACCTTCTCTCCCCTGCTCCTAGCCTCTTTCTTCCTTCCCCTCCTGGTCCCACACTGGCCAGGGCCTGGGTGGGTGGCCACTTAAACCCCAGACCCAGGCCCTTAACTCCTGGACCATGGCCAGCCTTCCTTAGGCTGGAATCCAAGCACCATCAGTGCTCTGGACCAGGCCAGATTCCCTGTCCCAGAGGGACGGGGCAGAGAGAGCCCAGTGTGGGGTGAGGGGCTAGAGACCGGCTGGGCAGGGCCAGTCTCCCTTCCCCTTCCCGAGCCTCCCTGTCCTCATGTGGACCCAGAGGGCAGAGCTGGGGAGAAGTGAAGGTAGCAATGCTTCTTCCTGCTCTTACTTCCTGCTTGCTAGGAGCAGTGCGTCCCCAAGTCATGAATGAGACTCCTCTGGCAGGCTTGGTGGCTCTGGTGATTTAAGGGCCGGGACTCCCCCACTCCAGTTGGAGGCCCTAGTTGGCAGGACATGTGGGCACCCAGGGCGTGGGACCCAGGGCCTCCGGGGAGGCAGCTGCTGCTCGGGGAACAGGGTGAGCAGACACGCTCCCGCAGATGTCTTCCCACCCTTGCCCGGCCAGCTCCTGCCTCAGCCTATGCCAGGAGGCGGATAACTCCATTGTCTGAGCCCAGCAGGAGGTGGCGTTTGGTGGGCAGCAGGGCCAGGCTGGTGAGCGTGCCGCGGAAGTTCTCAGAGCTCAGCTTCGTGGTGGCCTGGGAGGGCGGCTCAAGCAGGGAGCAGACGCCAATCTTGTTGGACACAGTGCCGGTGACCGCCTCGCTGCCGTACAGGTCAAAGGTGTGGATGGGGTCGGACGCTGACTTATAGTGATGGGTGGGTTTCTGCTCCAGCTCCTTCCAGACGGTCAAGGAATGGTCAGAGGAGGAGCTGACCAGGACGCTGCCCTCCACCGCCTGTCCCGGGAGAGGAGAGTCTCAGCAGGGTCCTGGGACCTTCCGCATACCCTTGAGCCCCAAGGCCTCCCCAGTTCCCTCCGCAGTCTCTCCAGGGAGACAGGCCGTCCTGGGTGGGTGACAGACCACCACCCTCCCACACACACCATATTCGTGTTTCATTTTTTTTTTTTTTTTTTGAGACAGAGTCTCGCTCTGTCGCCCAGGCTGGAGTGCAGTGGCCGGATCTCAGCTCACTGCAAGCTCCGCCTCCCGGGTTCACGCCATTCTCCTGCCTCAGCCTCCCGAGTAGCTGGGACTACAGGCGCCCGCCACCTCGCCCCGCTAGTTTTTTGTATTTTTTAGTAGAGACGGGGTTTCACCGTGTTAGCCAGGCTGGTCTCGATCTCCTGACCTCGTGATCTGCCCGTCTCGGCCTCCCAAAGTGCTGGGATTACAGGCTTGAGCCACCGCGCCCGGCCTGTTTCATTTTAATACACTCAGCATCCGTGACCCAGTCATCACTAAGTTGAGAACGACCCATAGGCATGGTGCCAGGCGTGCACGTGACAACCTTGACCTTCGTAACAACCCTATGCGGTGGATGCTGCCATTGTCCCCATTTCACAGAGAGGAAAAGCGAGGCTCAGAGAAGTGAAGTAACCATACCAAGGTCATGGGGCCAGTAAGCAGCAGAGCTGGGATTCACACCCAGGCTGACCCCAGAGCCGTCCTGATACTTTCTTGGAAAGTTAGAATTTAGGGTAACTCGAGCTCAGGGTTCCCTGGGGCTCTGGAGGGAGCCAGTGACGGCCTGCTCTCAGCAGGGTAATGCAGGACTCCTGGCCTCCAGCCAAGACGGGGAGGAAAGTCCCAGCTGCCTGCAGAAATCCTCCCACACGTAGCCCTGTTCCTCCCCTCCTGGGTCTCCCTGAGCAGCTCCCTGAGGCCTGTGACTGAGAATGGAGGGAGGGGAGGGGAAGGAGAGGGGCAGGATCCCCAAGCCCAGGCCGGCTCCTGCCCCCGCCAGGGCAGCCCAGCAGGGCCATGGACTCTGCTCAGTGGTCCGCGGGCAGTAAACAGCCTCCCAGCTGAGCTTTATTTAACCTGAACTGGGTCACGGACGGGACCTGACCCCTGATCCTCCAAGCAAGACAAATATGGACAAGGGTTACTCATTAGAACATCTCCATGAGCAACAGGGTCAGCCCTGCCCTGTGGCTCCCGCCCCCATGGCCTGCCTGCTGCTGAGGCCCCTGCAGTGCGACTGGCTCCCAAGTTGGCCCAGGAGGGCCACCCTCCCTGCCCATCAGTCCTGGACCAGGTATATAAGACAGACCAGCTCGAGCCTGTCCCTGGGCAGGCAGGCCCTAAGCAGGGGTGATGGCTGGACACGGGCGGGGGCCGCATAGCAAGGGGAGGGGGACCTGGCCTGTCACCTTGATCTGCAGAATGTCCCCCTCGTGGGCTGGCCAGCCTCGCAGAACCAGGCCCGTGCGGGTGTCCAGGAGCACCATGAAGCCCGAGGAGAAGCCGGCCACGACGCTACGGCCGCTAGGGCTGACGGCCAGGGCGCGGACAAGCCCAGGGTTCAGCCCACCGCCCAGTCGGAACTCGTGCTGCAGGGAGAGGGCGGCTGAACTGAGGCACCGCCTTCCCATCCCACGCTCCCCAAGGCCCTGCCCCCCACCCAAGCCCCCACGGCAGGAAGGCCTGAGCCTCTGACCCTCATCAAGGGGCATGAAAAGCCCAGAACCCCACCCCCATCACAGGCCAGAGTACTGCCCCACAGGGTGTGCGGCTGCGGGTGATCTAGCACCAAAGAGAAACTAACTAGTGCCCCAGAACGACATCCTGGCTTTCTGTTTTGGGGGAGTCTCTCCTCCCTGCCAGGTCCCCAGAGAACCAGGCGAGTGCTCAGGGCACTGGACCCCCCTGACCTGCAGACCCGGCTTCCTGCAGTCCACAAAGCGCAGGGTAGAGTCAGAGCTGGCCATGGTGATGCTGGTGTGGGGGGCGGGCATGACAGCCACCGCGGTCAGAGGCACCCGGCTGTCCAGCGGCTCCACTGTGCGAAGGGTCTTCCCTGGGAAGGAAAGTCACAGTGGATCTGGGATCGCAGCAGCTGATAGACGAGCCCTGGGAGCTTCTAATCCCCCAACTCACCACACAGCTGCCTCCCGTCCCCCAGGGATCCTTAGAAAATGCTAAAGATGTTTCTTTTTTTTTGAGACCGTCTCCCAGGCTGGAGTGCAGTGGCGCGTCTGGGCTCACTGCAACCTCCACCTCCCAGGTTCAAGCGATTCTCCCACCTCAGCCTCCTGAGTAGCTGGGATTACAGGCACCCGCCACCACGCCCAGCTAATTTTTTTGTATTTTTAGTAGAGACGGGGTTTCGCCATGTTGGCCAGGATGGTCTCCAACTCCTCGCCTCCCAAAGTGCTAAGATTACAGGTGTGAGCCACCATGTCCAGCCTAAAGATGTTTGTTGGCCGGGCGCGATGGCTCACGCCTGTAATCCCAGCACTTTGGGAGGCCGAGGCGGGTGGATCATGAGGTCAGGAGATCGA